TATGAAAAGGACGTGTGAATTAAACAAGTCACATATTAGCACTGATGAAGATCCGGGCTTACGGATCGAAAGCTTTGCAGTAATAAATTTATGTGGTGTTTCCACAAACAAAACTATTATATAGTTGTCCAACAGTCGCCATCTTCCTAGCAAGTGTCGCTTGCATGATCATTTGTCATTTGATAATACGTCATTGCTTTCAAAAAATGCTTTCAACACCTTTTCTACAAATGATGCTATAGATAAACAAGCATGTTTATAAACAAGCTGCAGGGAAAACAACCAGGAAATTTTCCAGAAAATTGGGCTAAATTTTCCAGAAAATTGGCTATTCCATTTAATATCCGTAATCTCCCTTTTTAACTCCGGAATTCCTCATGGGTAAACAAATTCTCCTGTGGAATTCTTCAGAGGTTGGTTATTTCAAATGCAATTCCTTTAGGGGTCAGATGTAAAAATTGTAATTCTTCAGGGGTAACAGGAATTCTTCAGGGGATCTCTTTTATGTCAGGAATTATTCAGAGATATGGTAAAACCATTGTCCTTGATACGGGGGTTATGTCTTTTAAATGGAATAGCCCAATTCAAAACAAGCCCCAAAATCTTGTAAAACTTTCTGAAAATTGTTGAGAAACATTTCTCTCGTCAAAACTATATTAAACTTTTGATGGATAAAAAACCACCATTGAAGGAAAATTCATTCTTGACATTTCTTGTATGATAGTGCTTATAAATAATTATTAAAATCGAACTAATGATTATTAGTTTGATATTAATAATTATTTATAAGCACTATCATACAAGAACTGAAGTATTAGCATCCAATTATTACATTTTGTAAAGTAGTAATATAAAACAGTTTTTTGCAACAGCTTTCAGCAATTCAGGCTGGTAGCGTATTTGGCAAAGGCGTCGTGAAAGTTTTCAAACTATTTCGCTCCAGCGTAGTGTGAAAGCGATGGCTTATTGTGACTTTTCTACATTGTTGTCAAATAGCTCCGCCGTGGTGGTGGAACACTTGGCGGCTTCTTGTGAACACAAACACATGGCAGATTTTGGTGGATAATTTGCAGAAATTCACTTCGAAATTCGATCAAGTAAAATTCGGACTGAAATTCAATGTAACTTGCGACTGATTGAGAAGCGTTGCTGTGTTTACTTATATGTCAATGCATTTTTTAGTATTACTGCATTCCTTAACCTCGCCCTTTAAATATGACAGCCATTTCTATTTTCTAGGCACACACCTCGCAAGGAAGCTTTATTGACTTTATTGACTATATACTGAAACTAAATATTCTAAATATTGAGTTTAGTTCACATAGCAGTCTCTTAATTCAAGCAACAGTTTAATAACTATTATTTTTAACACTTGAATAATTCAAACTTATACATACTAAAACTGCAAAACTTTACTTTTATATAGATAAAGTGTGTAAATTTTCGACTCATTCTCAACATGCAGGATACACTGTTACAGCAAGTTAGTTTTTGGTGGCCATGCATGCAAAAGTGGGCAGCTATTTTGCTTACGAGTTACGTGGACGTATAATTATTGCTGTTACATAAACGTTCCAGTTTTTAAGGGCTATAGCCGATAAAAATTGCGTGCTCATTATAATCGCCGATCACATAGCTTTATCACTGTCTAAAACCTTCGGACAATCTTATATCCGCATTTCCTCCCCCCCCCCCCTTCGGACATCCTAAGACATTTTTCCTCACTCCCCCTTCGGACAGCATGTGGGGTATCGATCTTTTCTGGAACAACCCATTGACCGAAAGTGCCTAAATTTCCCATGAATTTGCCCTTGGTAACTTGTGCGTTTCAACAATCAAACTGCGAGGTAAAACTTCCTGTCTCTAAACTGTGCTTCAATAGCTGTAATGTTTACAAAATAGTGAGTTTTGAAGCAAAAATTAATTTTGAAATTGGGAAAGCCAATAGGCAATTCCAGCTTTTAGTTTATGCGTGCAGGGGACGATGGGAAATAAGGTATCACATTGCTGATTATGCTGAAAAAATAAAAATGGTGGCCGTGTAAACACGTAGTGATAGTTTATACTTGTAAATATTGAAACATTTCGGTTGTTTTTATTGACATTTTTCAGCATAATCAGCACTATGATACCTTACTTCCCATCATCCCCTGCAGGCATAAACTAAAAGCTGGAATTGCCTATTGAGTGCAATGTAAACAATTTCTAGCACAGCAAGCAGGATAAAATCTCTTAAACGCAAGCAAAATTCATCCCGCTTACCGGGTTATCTCGTTTAGCGGGCCAGCCAGGGGGCCACCCCTTTCCAGGGTGGAAAGTTTGTTTCTTGTGTGCCGAAGATTTGATCAAGGTTCAGTAACATGCACCAGTGGCTGCACAAATCCTTTTTTAAAACATGTTCACATGCGCCGCCGAGTTGCAATATCAACACTTTTAGAATGAGACAGAACAGATATTAAACATTTGAAATACGGTCAGTCAGTGCTCAATCAAATTCCCTTTATTAAATTACTGAAATACAGACATAAATGGTTGAGAACGTTGTAATGTGCGCAAGTAAATATTTTTTGTATGCCAGTGCGCCACGCCAGTTCGTTTTCCCATAATTCTGCGCCAAAATGGAGCAAATTTATTAATTTTCCACGCCGAAGATCTTCGGCGCAACCTACAAACTTTCCACCCTGGCGGCATGCTTCTATATAAACAGCCCCGTAGAAATGTTTCTTAAAATATTTGTAAATTTTTCCCCCCGACCTTTCTAACTCTCAAATAGTTCATTACACATTTATTGGTTAGGGAAGGGGTTGGGGTCTGTTTATCCATACCTTAGGGACCGGTCATTATTTATGGCAGGGGTGGGGGCCGAAGAGAAAGTATAATGAAGCCGGAAAAAATCATTACCCCACCTTTTTCGAAACAAAATTTCTAGCTACCCCACCGGTGGAATGCCAGATAATTTTTTTACCCCACCCAAACCTATTTTGTTGCAATGTCAAAGGTTCAGACATAAAATATGTAATGAAACAGTTTAGTATTTTGTATGCGTATTACTCATCAAGGTACAAAATTGCCCTTGATGAGTAAGATCATCTGTTGTTAGAGAGTAAATAATAGTTGTTATAGGGTGCTTTGACCACAGTGGACATTATAATTAAAAGGGAATAAGATTCAACGCTATATTCCCTTTTCACGAGATAGTGCAATATGCTAGTCCCATGCATAAACATATATTAACCATATGCTTCAATATTTTACAACACTAACCGTATTTCACCACCCTATCTCTTTCCCACTTTAAAGTTTCTCTGTATATAATTTGGTTTCTTTCACATTCTTGCATTTCTTTATTAATTTAATTGAAATGCAATTTTATTTTGAAACAGTTTCACAAAATATGTGTTCACCCATGATTGCAACTATCTAAATTCTAAAATTTCCTCTGAAATTCCTTTAATATTTCCTTACTATAGACAATCACATGTATTATCACGGAATTTTAAAGGAATTCCTTAAGAATTCCCAAGGAATTCTTGAAGTTTATGAAATCAATTTAATATTTTAATTTGTAAACAATACAACGATACTAAAGTATTTGTCCCATGTGAGAATATCTGAATTTAGAAAGTTACTGTAAATTAATGAGAAAAAGTTGCTGTTATACAGTGTGAAGATAAAGATATTCATCCGAATTCCAAGTATGATTATATAAACAATTAAATTAATCTGTAAAACGGGTAAATAGATTTCTCTTATTTTATCCATGTATACATGATCTGCTAGTAAAGAAAAACAGCTATAGTTGCCAAAGGCTAGAGATGAACATATTGTGAACTAGCCATTGGAATGATTCTCCAGATTCACAAGGGGCATGGGGCATATTTCATGATTTGCTACCTGAATTGTCCATATGGTTTACAAGCACATACTGGATATAAATATTAGTTATGCAGTATCAAGTCAAAGTGTAGATGCCCAAAAATTAAATCCTGAAAATTTAATAGACTGTACATATACTTTTTGAGATATGTAATAGAGGATGTTTATATGGGGGTCAGGCTGGATGCCCGGGGTTAGGGGCTACAGACTTAAGGTCACTTTTCCTGAAGCAAGATCTCGGGCTAAAGGGGCGGGATCTCGCTTAGCTATAGCTGGGCCCGCTCTTTACCCATATATACACAAGGTGAACTTTAGTAAGAAATAACAACAAAGGCAGGATCTTGCCAAAACTGGGCCAGCTTGGGTACCCTGGGGATGGCTTGCAGTTGCACCATATAAACAGCCCCTATATATAGGCAGTATATATTTTGTCTGGTAATTGGAGTCTTTGGAGATTTTGTGTGTAAATGAATATAAAAATGACCCTTTACGGGGGAGTTGAGGGGGGTGTTTCTGTCAACATTTTGGAAAGCAATAATATTTTATTAAAAAATTAGAATAATCACATATTAAATTCTGATAGTAGTATATATTGTATTGTGTGTGATTAAAGTAAGGTTATTTTTTTTACCCCACCTCTGCATGCAAGGATTTTTTGGCCACCACACCTAAAGCAACTATTATTTTTCAGTTACCCCACCATTTTCTCTTCGGCCCCCACCCCTGCCATAAATAATGACCGGTCCCTAACAAATATAAAATTTACAAAAAGAGCGGCACTTAGAACAGAAGGTTTTCCAAGTGCGCATTCTGTTTACATCGAAAGATGAATGAAGTAGAGAAGAGTAATGAACAGTTAGTCTGTTTTTAAAGGAGGAAACGGATGAACTATTACGAATGGTAGGAGAGAGATTATTCCAGAGAAAGACAATATGCTTTCTTAATCAAATTGACAACTTATTTTCCACATGAAACGGACTCCCACACGGCAATTTTGTAAATCAGCAGCATGTTGTAGTATCTTAATATTTGTTCTTATTTCAAAATGTTATTCTTGTACTCTACTGTAGATTTATCCACCTTTCGTTTTACAGTAGCTAACATAATTGTACAATTTTTATTGTAGTCATATATTGGAGCGTGGCGAATCATTTCGAGATCAATCTTCGCGAAAGTCCATACCTAGTCTGCCTGAGGATCCCTCTGTTTCAAACATCACAGGAACCTTATTGCCCGTTTCTAACGACGACCGAACGGGCGGCGCCCGCGATTTTGAGGAACGCCTTCAATACGCCATGCAACAAAGCCTGATACTTCAAGAAAGACAACTGAAAGATATCGAAATCCTACAAGAAGAGCTGGGGCAAGAAGCGAGCGGAATGTCGAATCGGGTTGTCATGTCGAACAAAAGGGCGGTGATTGAAAAAATCCGCAAACCTCTGAAAGGAATTTTGAAGAAATCTGTAATGAGGTATGTTTTAAGGACCAAATTGCCAGGGTTCGAAGTAACCGGTTGTCTATATACCAGGCGATTATCACAAACGCTGGTGTAAAAATTGTGCGTAAGAAATACCCAACCTGTCACCGTGGACAAGTAAAAAATTAGGAAAATTTCTAACCCTGAAATGTGCAGCGTCTCCAAAAAGATAAACTTGCTTCCAATTTCCAACGTACTCCCTCCTTTTCTGATGGCGCTGCACGATGATGACGTAGCGAAAGAGAGAGAGACGTGAAGCAAAGTCTACACGCGTAAAAACGCTCAGGTTGATGCAATACTGAAGAAAACAGGATTGAACAATGTTTTGCTGCCCACATTGTTCATATACAGTGTAGCTGTCAACAGTATTGAACAATGTTGTTACACCCGATTCAGGCTCAACAATATTGTTCAATATTGTTGACAAGTGTGAACAACGTGGGCAGCAAAACATGGTTCAATCCTGTTGAGCAGCGGGCTCGGCGTTTTTTTGCCGTGTAATGTGGAGCGTGGAGTTTCTGGTTAAATTATTATTCTGTGGTTATAGGTACTTGTTTAGCTACCTGAAACGAGCGCGGCCAAGCCATACAAATTTATACAACGAACTCGTTTCCAGATCGCTAAACAAGTGTAATCAGCTTTTTGATATGTCGAGGGTGGGACTTCTGATTAAATTGTTATTCTGTGCCATAACCAAACCACTCAACTATTGTTCAATTCAGTGAGATACCAACAAAATGTTGATGTTTTCCCATAACAGTGTTTCAACTCTATTCGAGAGCCATCATCATTGAAACATGATACAAAATTATGTCATCTTCTTTTATAGGCAAGCGAAGTTACCCAAACCAGCATCATGACCACAATTGCAAACGGTAAGAGCAGAGCGTCGCTCTAAACTGGAAAATGACCTACAGTATTGCTCTATGGCAATGATTAAAGCAAAATTTTACACTTACTGTATGTCTATCGCGCATTTTTGAAGTGATAGACGGAACGTTCACATGCATGTGTTTTGTAACGAACAAAAGTTTTGTTCGTGGCCTAACCAGGTTTGCAACCAAATTTGAGAATTCCTTGGCAAAAGCTCTGAAATTTCTTGGTTTCTCCTACAGTGATTTACACTGTGTATTCGGTTTTCACTGATTTCACATCTGAAAATCACACCAGACAACAGGTTACAAATTGTGCAATTCATAAAATATCCGAACTCTTATTTTAATTATTAATCTAAGGCAATCATGCAGATGTGTGATTCTATTTTTTGTTTAGGCAGACCCAATCTTCCCCACAGCCAAAGAATAATTGGCTCTGGCTACGAGATTGGGGTGCCCTGAGAAATTTTAAAAAATCGAGGCTCAGAACGCCAATTCCTGCATTTCCGGGTAGTTAAAACTGTCTCAATGATTCATATACTGTTGTTACTGTAAATTTGGAATCTCTTCAATTCCTTAAAAAAATCCTTAAAACTTGCAATTCCCTAAAATAATTCCTAAAACTATGCAAAATTCCTGTTTATAAGAGAAAAATCCTTAAAGTGAGATCGCTAGGCCTAGCAATTATTTAATGAAAATATATTTATTTATTTATCCATTTTTATTTGGTATTTATTCAATGTTTTTTATTTGTTTTGTGAAAAAACCACGCCTTTTTTTCTTTCGATCCATAATATATAAAGATATAAAGTTTAAATATTATAAATAATATTATATAAAAAAATAAATACAGTAATATAATAAATATTGATATTACAATAATATATATCAAAAATAAATTCTCAGTCTTTGATTGGTTTTGGTTTCTTTTTAATTAATAAAAAAAGTCAAGATTACATTCTACAGTATATACTGTACCTTATTATAGGAAATTAACGATGCACTTAATTAACGAGGATTTTAAAAATTCTCGTTAATTTAATTAATGTTAATTTATGTGATCGTTAATTTTAAGTATGTAATTTTCATTTATCGTTAGTTAAAAATACTTAGATTTGTTTTATATAACACTAACTCTCTTAATATCAAAATATAGGATATTAACATCAGTGCTCCTCTAAACATTAAACCTTCGTTGTTGTTGTGTCTATATTTTCCCATTCGCGTTAATTTAATTAATTTGTCACCCATGGAGATCAGATTCGAGTTAATATACTGTAATCATGCTTTAAAAGACCTAGAAGCAATCCGCGTTAATTTGATGTCGCGTTAATTTATGTCGCGTTAATAAAGTGCATCGTTAATTTCCTATAATAAGGTAGTTCTCTAAGTACATTAAATGCTATTGTTGTCACCATGGATTGTAACATTACAATCCATGTTGTCACTGAGCTATCGATGAATATATTTCGTAGAATAGGTAATGAACATTATCTCTACATGTCTAGCAAAGTAATTTATGAAAACAGTGTGGGTTAAATGCTATTCTGTTCACAAATGCTCCACTTCAAAAAGAAATCAAACGGAAAAGTTGATTTTGGAATTTGGAAAAGTTCACTTTAGTTGTTGTAGTCGTTGCTGCTAGCCGAGGCAGCAAACACAACAACTCGCAGGACAATGATGAGTGGAATTATGATCAAGCCACAAACGATAGCGGCGTAAGCCAAGTTTCTTGCACTTTGTGCTGACGCCACGGCTCCGGCATAGTCGCCAGCCATGTAACGATTTCTTGCCTAGAAATAAAAGGAATGGACTTTAATTATCTATACTCTTTGGTTAAAGTTTCCTGCATGGTTAGGCTAGAAAAAAACACTATTTGGCTAACTTAATATTTCTGGTTAAATTTCGTGGTTATTGTATTTCACGTCCTACCATAATCTGGTTAATAAAGTGTATATGACATGAAATTTCTTATTTTCGTAAATGAAAGAACTCTTCTAAGCTGTAGTGTAACTTATTTTTCAGTTTCTTGTTTTTATGGTTTGTTCCCGAGATATTTCAATTTGTTTGATATGTAAATGTTGTGAATATGTCCGCTAATTTATGACGTCACATTGGTTGCAAGCTCAACTTACACTTGTTATAAATGTTTTAACTCTAAAAACTGTAGATATCTGTTGACGTTTTTCTCCAGTGTTTCATCACATTTACCAGTGAGTGAAGTTTGAAATTATCATCTTGGATGATAGCAGTGATATTCAACCATTTCGAAGAGCTTGCAACCAATGTGACGTCAGAAATTAGCGGACATATTCACACTCATTTACATATCAAACAAATTGAAATATCTCGGGAACAAACCATAAAAACAAGAAACTGAAAAAAATTCAAGTGGCTCTAAAATTTTTGCTTTTTACCAAAAGCAAACTACTACACTCGTAGCATACTTTTAATAAGCTGAAAATCAATTTTGGGTTGCGGGCACTTCAAAAAATAACAAGGAGATTTAAGAATATTAATTAAGTTGACCGAAATAGCCTAGTTAAAGTTCAAAGCAAACTCCTGTCTATAAATTTGGAAATATTTTTTTCCGAAATCTTATCTGGATCATATATACACTAGATAGCACATCTCTTTTAGTAAAATTGAAGCCAAGAATATTCCAGCGGTTACCCCCACTTGAATAGATGGCGGCCATGTTGGAGTTTCCCGCTCGCTAATAAACGCTTAAAAAACAACAATAACTTTCATCTTTTGAATAGGTTGAAAATGTATTTGGAATAGGTTTAACTTAATGTTTAAATTCCCTGTTTAAGAAATAGAAAACATACGAATGTTCTCATTTCATGGGAATATCCTGAGTCTGCAATCACGGCTTCAATTTTTGAATTGCAGAATAATTAGATGCACTATCTAGTGTATATAAGATATCTATGGTCTGGATCGACAGGAGGTTGCTTCTCTGAAGTTTCGAAACAAACAGATGTGCAGAAATATACTCTCAGTCTCAAAACAACAGTCAGACCAAAACAACAGGTTAAATTTTAACCCAGTGTTAGCGCTAACCCACCTGCACCAGGATAATACTAAGCTAATCGAACTCACTAAAATTTACAATACTACGTTAAGACAAAATAGCATACATTACAGACAACAAAAAGCGAGTTAGGTAAGAGATTGGCAAACGGACTCGAAGTCCCAACAAGGCAAACCCCACGCGTTAATAATTACAACTAACGCCTGTGTTCCAAAAGCTCACTCACACCCAATAAGTGGAGGTTCAATCTGAGCTTCCCTTGAGTGTCAAATGTCAATGCTGTTTTTGAATACAGTAGCTGGAGGGTCAGTGCCGTACCGTACTATGTGACTACTCACCCTCCAGCTATTCAAAAACGGCATTGACACTCAAGGGAAGCTCAGATTGAACCTCCACTCATTAGTGTGAGTGAGCTTTTGGAACACAGGCGTAAAACTACACTGTGACAACAGAAAATACGCATAAACGTTCTCTAAATACTACTGAGCAGAATACGCCATTCCTCGTCTAACGCTAATTTCGGAACTCTAACCTGGACCTAATGTCAACATTTTCTATGATTGCGGAATAACTCTGTTCAGCTACAAATCCGCTATACTCTTTTCAAATTCCCACTTAAAACATGGCCCATCTCTCACCTCAGACGATTTCATGATGGCAAAGATTCCAATCGGCCAACAACAGCAAAGGCAGGCGAAGATTGATAACCCCATTTGATCATTGACAACAGGAATCACTGCAGCTACCATTTGAGGTTGATTCTAAGAACGTAAATTGATTTAGTATTTAAATTGTTTTGTTATTTCACTTATTGTATTCAGGTGTTGGTATTTTGAATGAGATTAACTCAAGGGTAAAGATTTAAATTGTTCAGGGTGCTGATTTTTTGTGGGGTAAAAGCTATTTTATTTACAAAAATCTCCTAGTTCACCTCTAACAACTTCTGCGTTTTTACGTGTATACTGTAAGTACCAGGATTGTGGACTCGGATTTTGCAATTAGGCGGGAAAAGTGATTCAAAATCGGTGTTCAACTTAACGGGTTCAACTTGCCACTTACTTGTTGTACCACGACTGTTGTGTTATTGCTAGTTTGCGAAGAAAACCCGACAGGTTGCTGAACATATCCCTGTCCTTGAGGTGGATATCCGTGTCCTTGAGGTGGATAGCCTGGGTTTTGTGGTGGATAGCCCCCACCATATTCTTTCTGTGGTGGATACCCAGGCTGTTGTTGTTGTGGGGGATAGGGGGCAGATTGTGGTGGATATCCGTGCTGTTGTCCCTCTGGGCTGTACGGTGGTGGCTGTTCCATCTAGATTATAATAATAATAGATTATAATAATATTTTGATAAAACATACTTTTAAACCACAGTGTGGACTACCACACCCGTTCCGCACGTTGTACTTGTAACCAATAATCAGGGTCCCCACGGTCCTTGAAAATCCTTGAAAGTCCTGGAATTTTTTTTCAGTAGGCTGGAAATAATTGAAGAATTATCACCAGCCCAAGGATTATTGCCCAAATGTTTATTTTCTCCAATTTCAATTAAAATTATGTATAACAATTGTCCAAAAGTTGTGTTGCAAAGCTGATTTTCAAAGATTTTTCCAGTTGCCAGGTCCTTGAATATACTGTAAAAGGTCCTTGAAAGTCCTGGAAAAGTCCTTGAATTTCATCTTCACTCAAAGGTGGGGACCCTGAATAATCTATTGGCGTTGTAAAGTCATTGTACAGTATGCAATAAAGTATTGCGTTGTAACTGAAGACAAAACAACAAGCATTGGACAAACGTTTTAGTTATAAATTAATGGCCCTAAAAGGGAGGGTAACTGGTCGGGGTGGGGAGATTTGTTTTAAAAAAAGGGTCGTCAACTTTAGGGTTAGGGGTTAGAGGTTAGGATTAGCGTTTGGATTAGGGTTATTGTAATTGTAGACCCGTTACAACCCAATACTTTATTGCATATACAATGGCTTTACAACGCCAATAGATTATTGGTTACAACGTGCGGAACGGCTGGGACTACAGTATGAAGATTTTAATTGTGTCTGGTCCAAATGTTGAATCAAATATTGGCTAATGGTTGGCCAAACTCAGGGCCTGAAATTTCAATTTTTTTCTCAGTATCCATCTGGGATACCGGGATGCAAAGTTTAGTATCCCCCCCCTGAGAATCCAGTAACCCACTTCTGGACACTGGTTACCGTAAGTATTATACCCTGTCCCATCCAAATAAGTTTCCATAACTCTAACTAGTGTTGCAAATTGCAATAACAACAGGGGATTCATCATTCACATTTTGGTATCCAAAACCAAATTTTAGTATCCCGTGGGTATCAGGATACTGCAATTTCAGACCCTGAAGCTTTTCGATATTTTCATTGATAGCTTGTGCTTAATCATAATAGTGCAAGTTTTTCATGGTCAACCAGGAAATTTTAACCACACTATAAATTCCCGGACTGTCTATGTCACTAAATTTTGAAACTTTTTGCAACACTTTACGCATTAGCATTTAATGCATGCTCGAATACCAAAAAAGTCCAATGTTTGGGCGGTGGACCCGCTGCAGCTGTTCACTGAAATTGCTTCATAATTTGATAGACGAAGTGTGTCATAAAGAACATTTTACTGTAAACTCCGTCCGATCAATTCAAATCATCCCATTTTTAAATCTTCCATTTTTGTGCGCAAGCCATTTTCACAATGTGGTTCGCAAAAACAGCCCTTTTGAATCCCGAGAAAAAATGTAGTGTTGAGGAAATCAGAAGGCACTCAGCTGCCCATATTCACGTCGTAAACGTGCACAACCCTGCAAATTTTCAATTGCTACTGGCCATTCGAAAATTGTTGATGGAAATTTTGTACACTTTTCAGACCCAACCAGAAGCAGTTACGAAAAATGCAACTATATAGAGTATAGGCACAGAGTAACAATTTAACTGTTATTCTGTGCGTATAGGTCCTCTTCATAGTTGCATTCGTCAAATTAGGATTTTCAAATTAGGGTCTCTTCCGCTCGAAATTTCCATGTAGAAAAACCTATAAGTTCTATCGAGCGAGATGCCCACAATCTTGATATTTGCAAATTGACAATTAGCCTTTTTCATGCACGGCCGATTTTCCCGCCGTTTTTGGGTACTGCCTCTCCCACGTTTGAGCAATCTCGTACCTAGCCCGCGCACAGGCATTGCTCTGGGTACGAGATTGACGTTTGAGGGTCTCCGCAACGCAACAATACTGACAAATTCTTAGTATTGCAGTTGTTTGTATGATGGCATTAAGATTTACAGTTACAACTTTTAAAAGTCGCTTTTCACGTTGTTTGAATTGTCTAGAATCTTTCACAAGGGCAGACAGTACCCCAAATGGCGGATTTTGGATCTTTTATACACTCTGTAGGCACTAGGCTGTCTAGCCGGCGACACATAATGTCAGTGAAAACACATAGGTCAGTGAAGATGTCGGTTAATATCCATAGACCATATGGTTTATCTGATGTCGTGATGATGAATTTGTACTGCCAGTACTCAGCCTCACTCAGTAGATTCGACTGACTGTCGAACCATTTTCTTGTCTGATCTCAAATCATGAATTTCAAAGACAAAGATGGAACTTTTCTTTTGACTTTGGAGTTTGTTTTGTACGATATTTCGTGACGTTATCGGCCGATAATCGTTCATTAAAAGTGACGTCTTAAGAGTTAAGGCCCATACAGACCGGGCGCGATTTGCATTTGAATTGAATTTTATTAATAAAATATAGACTTTGCAACCATGAAGGTTGAAATACATCTATCATTTACAGGGTTGGTTGATTAGAAAAATATTGTATATTTACAAAAACATATTTACTATAATATAGGAAGAGTTTAGAACTTCAAGTATGGTATTACCATAATATTTACAAATAAAAATGTATGTAATTTATAGTTACTCAGTGTTTATTATAAATCGTTACAGACGAGGGAATGTACGAATTTTTGAAGCGATTTGTCCGACAATTAATTGGAACGAGTTTATTCGATGTGCGTAGATTGTAGCTTGGATGTTCGGCTGGTTCAACTAGTTCGGATAGAGGACTAATTTGCGGAAGAACCTTTTTTCTAAAAAATTTTGAACATAACAGTTCGCGCCTAGAATACAATGTTGGGATATTGAGATCTGATAAGGATTCTTTGTATGATGACGATGGGTTAATTATTTTCAACGCTCTTGACTGGATCCTTTCTATTTCTTTGGATAGGTATTCAGGTATGTTATAATGCCAAACTTGGGCACAGTACTCCAAGATGGGTCTTACACATGAAAAATACACTGATATCAATGTTTTAGTGTCACAACGAGCTCGCTTGAGGAGTCTAAGCATGTAAAGGCGTTTTGCGGATTTTTTCACTATGTGAGCCACGTGGTCATTCCACTTTAGGTCGTCCTTGAAAATTAAGCCAAGGAGTTTAGCGGATTTCACAACTTCAATGGGCTGTTCGTCAACGATC